TGCGTGGTGTCTAATTATGTTTTTTACATTCATTTTTCTTGTGGATTGCTATTTACCGTCTCCTCTATTACTAGTCACCGCCCCCCAATTACAAAAATACCATTTATTATATTTCTTTCTTTTCTCTCTCTAAACTCTCTATCTCTCTAAAACCGAAACTTCAACGACCCGTACGAACGTCAAAAAAATTCCGAAAAAATGTCGAAAAAATCCTACGGTCTCGGCAAAGCGTTCTTCTCTAGCAAGGTAATTTTTTTTTATAATTTAAATAATTTTTAAAATTCTTTTTTTTTTAAATCTGGACCCGCGTCCGACCGGTCGGACCAGACGCGGGGCGGGCCGTGCGGCACTCTTTTCCGTACGGCCCGCGGGCGACCGGTCTCCTTTACAGGTCGCCCTTTGAAACGTGCGGCCGGACCGGGCCGCACGGTCGGCTATATGTCCGACTTATGGGGCTGGTCGTACGGTGACAAAACCGGCGCCGTCACCGGCCGGACTTTTTTTTTTAATTATATTATAATTAAATAATAAAAATAATTATTCTAAATATTAATAAATATTATAATATAAAAATAATTAAAAACGTAAAAAAAAATTATAATAAAAATATTTATGAAATAAAAGAAAAAAATATTACATTAATAAAGAAAAAAATATTATAATATATTTATTTGAATATTTAAAAACTAAAAATATTAGCATAATAATAAATATAATAATAATTATAATATAAAAGAAAAATATATCACATTAATAAAGTAAAAAATATTGTAATATATTTATTTGAATATTATAAAATTAAAATATTAGCATTTAATTAATAATAATTATAATATAAAATAAACTAGTTACTTTATAAAATTAATATATTAGCATTTAAAAACATATATTTAATAATTTAAAAAATATTACATATGTATAAAAACATATATATAAATTAATATAAATGAATATATGTAATTATCGTATTATATAAATTAAAAAAAAATATTTACTAATTATTACTTTAAATTGTTCATTTAGGGTATTCGTATACCTGAACAAGCTGACCGTGAGGACCCGGCCGACAATATTATGCATGGTTCTAGAAACCGACACGTTATAAGTCGAGGTATAACTGCGTCCGATCGCCGCACTTGGGAGGACGCGATCAACGAGGCTCGGATGTTACAAATTGGTCAGGTTGGCCAGTCCGACAGTTCGAGACTTCACGCACCAGCCGTACCGGTTGGTCAGCAAGGGTATGGCCAGACAGGCAGTTCTAGAGTCCTCGTCCCCGGACCATTACTGTACGATCATGATCAGCATAGATATTATTATGCTGGCCAGGCAGGCAGTTCGATACCCCGTGCACCAGCACCGCACGGTCAGCAGGTATATTATGCTGATGAGTCGGTAGCCCAGACGGAGCAGTCTTCTGACGAGTCCGCATCATATGACGATGCGTACGATTCTGGACTCCCACCGCATCATACACCTCCTGCTCAGCATACACCTCCTACACAGCATGCGTCTCCTGCACAGCCTACGGCTCCTGTTCGGCCTGCTATTCCACGACAGGCTGGTGGGCGTTTTGCTAGCACTGGATCCTCAGGTAAATAATTTAAGTATTTTTATTTCATTTGACACTAATATTTCAACTTAATCGCAACAAATTATCAGTACTGTTAGTGACATTATTTCAATTATGTATTTATATATTTGTCTTTTCTATTCTAATGTAGGTACTAGCAAACGATCTAGGACTGATGATGGAGCAGACTGGATCGTTAGAGGTCCAGTTCCCGGTGGGCCCATGGATGGGAGTGTGATCCCTAGCTTTCTAGGGCACGTAGCCATCCGAATGTGGAATGGACAGATGCGAGACTTACTGAAATGCCAGAACAGGCAGCGAGCTGTAGAAAATCTGAAAGCTTGGCGAGGTGAAATGTCTGCCGAGGCACTTGATCTGATTAGACAGACCGGGCTGTCACATCTAGTAGACTCCATGCACGCCCACTTGGACACTCCACTGATTACTGCATTTGTGGAGCGATGGGAGCCTGATACTAACTCGTTTCACCTGCCTTTTGGTGAGATGAGCATTATGTTGCACGATGTCCGGGCCATTTTGGACATTCCTATTGAGGGAGGTGTGGTCGTTGAGGACTCGGATTCAGAGGCATGTCAGGCTTACTGCATGGAGATACTTTCGGTCACGAAGCCTGACCTAATTGCGTCCGTGTGACAACGTGGTTCGGTGGCCGAAGCCTCTGTTGGGGAGATATTTAGAGGTAAAAATAAGTTGGCTTCAGATGAGGCTGGTGCCTGGATTTGGGTGCTGCTGGCTACCACGTTGTTCGTAGACAAGAGTGGTAGTAGAGTGAGTCTGAAGCTCCTACATGAGGTGCTCGACGGCTTGGATGCCATTGGATGTTACTCGTGGGGGTCGGCTACGCTAGCATATTTATACCGACAGTTAGGTATTGCCAGCAGAGGGGATTCCAAACAACTTTCCGGCTGCTTGACTCTTCTGCAGTCTTGGATTTACGAGTATTTCCCTGATTTCCGACCCCAGGAGGGGCGTTTACCTCTCGGACCTAACGAGTCCGCACGAGCTCGGGTGTGGAACGCAGGGACGGGTCATATGTCAGAGGACCGTCTGATGTCTATCCGTCGTAAGCTGGACAGACTCACTGCCTCCAGTGTACGTTAAGTTATTTAATTTAGTTACTCGTTATTTAAAATAATATAAATATTCTTATAAATGCTTTTATGCCATTGTGAACAGGTGCAATGGACGTCATACAACAGCTCATGACCATATGAGATAGAGCAGAGGACTCTTTATTACGGACTGATTCGGTACCGCGATATTGTCGAGCCGTACTATCCTGTACGGTTTCTGCGGCAGTTGGGGTATGTCCAGACCATCCCTTCCCCTATACAGACGCCGACCGCTGTAAACCGTGCTTGGCAGGTA